ATAGATAGATAGATAGATAGATAGATGGATGGATAGAAATATAGAAACAAAGAAATAAATAAATAAATAAATATAGATAGAATGATAGATGGATAGATAGATAGATAGAGATATTCTTCTACCGGTCATTCATCACCTTAAACAAAATTGGGTAAATACATCTTATACTATTGACTTACTGGTTGTCTCGGAACTCTACTCAAACACGAAAAAAAATAATTATTTGATGTATTCACCCAATTTCGTTTAAGGTGATGAATGACTGGTGGAAATTGGGTGAATATATCGCATATGACTGATTTACTGGTAGTCTCGAGAACAATACTTAATTCGAAAAATGAAGTAAAGTAGTCGATTGTTTTAGCAAATAAACGTTTGCTTCTTCGACACTTTTACCAAAAGAATATGATATGGCAAAAAAAGTCCTAACCTTCCTTGCAAATTCACATTTGCCCTGTGACCCAAAGTGGTGCTCGTGGCAGTGTGGCCGAGTGGTTGACGTGTCGAGTTCCCGTTCTGCCCTTTCACGGTTCGAGTCCCGCTGGGGGAGTCGAAACTGCAGTCCACTCCAGCTGGGATGAGAACATCTTTCGGGAAAGAAAGGCAATGTAAAATGCAATGCAAATGTCAACTCAACTCAACTGATTGTGGGAAAATTCTTATTCTACCAGTGCTTCATCAGTTTAAACGAAATTGCGTGAATAGCTCTCATACTACTGATTTACTTTTAACCCCGAAACAATACTTAAATGCGAAAAATAATAATTATTCGTCGCACTTTGTAACTTCTCGCTCGGCCCAATTGGTATCCGCGAGCAGTTGGGCTCGGCAAACAATGTGCGAACTTGCACGAAATGACGCGACATGTAAAGCGGAAGAATGCTCTCTCTCTCTCTCTCTCTCTCTCTCTCTCGACCTGCTGGCCGGACAGAATGCGCTTCGGACGCGAACAATGCCAGTTCGGAGTGTCTAAAGAGACTGTCGGTGACGCGTCTCTTCGGCCCGCCTCGAAAAGGTATCCTCCTCGCCAGTTCACCTGCCGGCGCATCATCCCACTCGCGCCTCGTCCAATCAACCCTCGAGCCCATATCCACATGCCATGACTGCACCAGACACCCAAAGCAGTACCATCGGCCCACCGTCAACTTGCGCCGGACCGCTTTTCTTTCACTTTTGGCGCGATTTGTCAACCGACCAGCTGCGATTCGGCATGGCAGTCAACAGACCAATCAACTCTCTTCACTTGCGGGTTCGAGGCATGACCCTTTTGGCCAGCTTCACTCCGACCCAAATGCACCTGACGACAGGCCTTGGCGACGAGCAGCTGTCGAAGCCTTGAATCGGCGTCGAGTCGGGGCTGCTGTTGACCAACTGGCTTTTAGTCCTCGTTTGACGGTCGACTCAATCGCGTCCAGGTCTAACCGACAC